CTTTACTTTGAATTTTTCTTCTATCATAAGGAGAAATAGAAAAATGGGTTGTAAATTTGTTTTCACAGAATAATCACACCTATGCAAAGTAAACAAATTAACTCAAAATTATGCATAGAAAAAATTTTAAAAAGTAACTGTGAGATGTTAATACAGTTTTTCTTTAGTTAAAGGGAATATTAACCGTAATAGTGAGTATTGGTGGTACTTGCCAAACGAATAGTTATTAATAACTAATAGCAACATATTTTGTTCTGAGAGCACCCATTTGTGATAATATGTGTGCTACAATATAACAATATTTTCTGCTAGCCAAGTTTTTTTTTTTTTGTATATAGGATAGATTTAATGTAATCATATTCCATTTGTTCTGCTAAAAGGCATCCTGTTCCATAGAGAGTTCCATGGCCTCCAGGGTCCCTGCCTAATAAAACAATTTTGAGATGTGCTTGTTTCATAAGGACTACAGCAATTTACTTCTTTGGTTAGCTGGGTCATGTAGAGGGAGGATCAGGGAGCTTTTATCTTCTCATACTGGGAAGAATAGAATTTCACTCCTGTTTATTAAAGACCATCTGATGTATTAACAGCATAATCATTTACATTTTATTGAGAACATATGATGTTCCAGACACAGTGGTTACAGAAGCTGTAACAACTCTAACCTTTACAATGATGCTGTGAAGCAAACACTACTATTTCTTCTGCACTTGACAGCTGAGGAAATGGAGGCGCAGAGAAGTTAAATAAACAGCTAAAGTTTGCAAGCACAGATGTGTTTGAGTTGGCTGAGAATCTAACCCTGGCACTAAGTTGTACTGACTTTCCTATAATATCACATTGCCTAAAATCAGAATAAGTTTCAAAATAGCAACTCTTTGTTTTGTTTCCTTTATTGCTTACATTATGAACATTATCTGTGATGGTCAAAATTTATTAAGTAAATTTTATCATTTTATCAGAAGAGTCCTCTATAAAGAAACAACAGTTGTTTCTGAGTTTTTCCAGGAAATAACAAAGACAGAATGATTTGCAAAAAGGAGTTTATGTCAATAAATTCAGCAATCTTTGGTATATTCTATATTTTCTTTCTGTGTAGATACATGAATCCATATTAATCTACTGTTGTAAAATGACAGGTTAAAGACTAGTACCTACCTTTTAAACTTTGTCCTTTCTTGATTGCAAGTAATTCATTAAAACATTCTACTTAGAGCCAACTTGGAGTGGGTACTATGTTAGGTTTGTGTGTCCTGGGACAAATAGCACAGTGCCTTTAACCTCAAGGAACATATAGACATATAGATTTGGTCAACATTCACCCGATGATGTAGCAGGATCCTGACATGGTGTCATGTATTAAAACTCACAATGACAAATAAGGCACAGTTTCTGGTCTCAGGGAGTTCTAAATAATTGGAATACAATATAATGATTACCAGTGGATTGCATATAAAGTATCCGGTAGTACTGGGAATGGATTAGGAAGGCTTTAGAGAGGAGATGATACTAAAATTGTCTTAAAGATGAGTAGGAGCTTACCATGTAGACAAATTGGAAATACCATACAAGAAAGACAAATCAGCAGGAGCAGAGGCATAGTTATATAGGAAAACTTTGGGATGTTACAGGAATGTGAGAGGTTTAAATGTGTCTAGACTAAGAATTGAATGTAATTTAAAAAAAGAATATATATATTTTTTAATTGTTTTGTTTTATTTTCATCACGATAAGTATACTCTTTAATCCCCACACCTATTCCCATACCTGTTCCCCCATCTGTCTATCCACCTCCCCTCTGGTAACCATCAGTTTGTTCTCTATCACTAAGATCTGTTTCTTGGTTTCTCTCATTTTTCTTTGCTCATTTGTTCTGTTTCTTAAATTCCACATATGAGTGAAATCATATGGTATTTGTCTTTCTCTGACGGACTTATTTCACTTTGCATTATACTCTAGCTCCATCCACACTGTTGCAAATCGTAAGATTTCATTCTTTTTTAGACTATAAGAATATTTGGAGGGAGTAGTAGACAATGAGACTGAAATCATAGGGAAGGCTCATATCATGCCTAACCCTCACTTATTTTCTCATAATAGCATATTGTACACTAACTATATGTCAAATATATATATATATGTTTGTGGGGATAGTTTGACCCTAAATTATTTTTTGAAATTTGTGCCCTTGAAGAAGAGTCAGCTTATGTGTAGGAGCATATAATTTTAATTTGGTCTTTCAAAGATTTGAGTGATTTGAGAAAAAACACATAAACCAGAGATTGTCCTGCTGTATTTATAAGAAAAAAATAGGAAAATTATCTAGAATATTTGAGATTTATATTTATTTTATGAAAGAAGAATAAAATTCTATGTCCTGAGAACATTCTGATCAGCTAAAGAGACTTTATTACAACTTTAAACAGCCACAATAATTAAATATTTTGATCAGGTACCATTTGTTATTTTGGTTTTCTTTCCCACCATCTTTGGCCTTGCTTTTTAGACTATTAAAATCACTTGCATCTGTTATGATCTCAAGCCATGGTTCTTTTTATAGCTGACATTTTGAATTTATTTGTATCTCATTTGCTGTTTTACTTGCATTTTGCTTTTCTTATTATCAAACAGCCTATTTCTTATTTGCAAGTCTACAGCCTCCACTCTACTGAGATCTAGTTTGTATTTTTTATGTACCTAAAAGAAACAGAGAATCTGCTAAAAATAAAGAAATATTCAAAGCTGAATTGAGTTCAGCTGCTCAGTGCTTTTTGAGTTACTACCCTTTCAACTCCAGGAAACTTCTGAGTTAAAAGGTGGCTTTGTGAACAAGTGAAGAGGTTTTGCCGATCTTTTAGTCTCAAGAGAAACTTCTCCACAGTACAGTCACTTAGAATGAGGCTTTGAATACTGTAAATTTATCATTTTTGGAATTTCTCTTGAACTATTTTGAGGATGTCAGTAGGCATTTAGTAAGTACTGAGTGATTAAATAATAAACACATGCAAATATTTTTCCATTATTTACCTAATAAATTTCTCTGTGATATTTCAAACTCCCCACAGACTGAAGAAGCCTACCCTCCGGTGGATCTTTCTTCTTTCTAGAGCATAACCAGACTTTTCCAATTTGCTTCTAATTCACTATGGGACATTTGCAGGGATATTGTCTGGTGAGCTTTCTTCTTCCATTCATATTTTTACTACTTTTCTCTAGGGTGATGGATTGAAAGTAATATTAAGAAAAACAAGACATGATTCCTTCCTCAAGGAACTTCAAATTGACTAGAAGCTATAAAAAAAGGTGGAACTCAATAATATAAATTTTGTCCCAAAATACAGATGGGGACTGAAGTGAGAGAAAGATAATTTTTTAATAAAAGGTATTTTTAGGTACAGATTGTGTGAGTGATGTATTCCTATGCAAAGAAAATGAAAAAATAATGAAGTTGAGAAAGTATAAGGATTTTTCTGGAATAACAGAGAATTTGGTTGGAACATTTAATTAACTTAGAATATTGTAGATGCTAAGGCTGGAAGGATAGTTTGGAGTCATATTATGGGGGATTTAGAAAGCAGGCTTAGAGGTTAAGATTTAATATGCTGAGAAAAGAAAAGGAATTTGAATAGAGAAGCAGCATGGACAAACAGATGTATTAGGAAAATTTAGCAGTGCTCACTTTGGCAGAACATATACTAAAATTGGAACAATACAGAGGAGATTAGCATGGGCCCTGAACAAGGATGATACACAAATTCATGAAGTGTTCCATACATTTCAGCATAAGAAACATAGTCAATGATAACGTAGTAGTGTTGTATGGTAACAGATGGTAGCTAGATTTGTGGTGAATATAGTATAACATAGAGATGTTGAATCACTGTGTTGTACACCTGAAGTGAATGTAACATTGTGGGTCAACTATACTCAAATAAAAAGGTTTAAAAAAGAGAAAATTTGGCAGGAATGTGTCAGCAGACTAGGGTAGGAGAGACTCTTGAATCAGAGAGCCAGCAAAAAGGTGTTCATGTAGGTAGGAACTATGAGGCTCTGAGTCAGAATAATGGAAATACATTCTGTAGACAGTGGGGCTATCTACAGAACTGGCCATGTTTTGTCTGTCTGGCACAGTGAGAGGAAGAGCCAAGAATGAATTCAAGATTTGTTTTTGTGACCAAGAGAACAATGAGGCTGTTAAATAGGAGTCAGAAGGAGGAGGAAGAGATTTTGAAAAAAATAGGTTGATAATTTTAGTTTTGTATATATCAAGGTAGAGAATTCCAGCAGGTTTTGGACATAGGTTTAAAAGTTATATGTATAGGGGCGCCTGGGTGGCTTAGTCGTTAAGCATCTGCCTTCAGCTCAGGTCATGATCCCAGGGTCCTGGGATCGAGCCGCACATCGGGCTCCCTGCTCAGCGGGAAGCCTGCTTCTCCCATTCCCCCTGCTTGTGTTCCCTATCTCACTGTGTCTCTCTCTGTCAAATCTTTTAGAGTCAGGAAAATCTTCCCACGGAAGGGAAGACTAAGTTGATATCTGCAGCATGATTAGGGGTTGTCAGAAAGAGATCAGGTAAGAGATAGAATGCTCTGCGGATTCAGGACAATAGCCTCTTAGGCCAGACCTAGGAAGGCTCAGTGTCCTGAGAAGTTCCTCCCTTGGAATCTAATAACAAGGCCTACATATTCCTTTAGGTATAGATCTCTTAAAACTTCAAGCCTTCCCCCCGCCCAAAGAGGCTCCCTGACTTATAAAGTAGTTATGTTTTAGAAGGTCTTGTACAATTCTGATTTTTCCTTAATTCAAAACTGTATATCTAAATTGTCTCTTTTTTTAAACCTTTTTATTTGAGTATAGTTGACCCACAATGTTACATTCACTTCAGGAGTACAAAATAGTGATTCAACATCTCTATATTATACTACATTCACCACAAATCTAGCTATCATCTGTTACCATGCAACACTGTTACGTTATCATTGACTATGTTTCTTATGCTGAAAAGTATGGAATAATTCATGAATTTGTGTATCATCCTTGTTCAGGGCCATGCTAATCTCCTCTGTATTGTTGCAATTTTAGTATATGTTCTGCCAAAGTGAGCATTGCTAAATTTTCCTAATAACATCTGTTTGTCCATGTTACTCCTCTGTTCAATTGTCTAAGGCCTTTAAATTTATCTTGATTTTCTGGGTAATAAGCAGAGGGTTTAGTTAATAATTCCTACTATATTGGCTATAAGCCAAAATTTGGACCTATATTTATTGGCCTTAACTCTTGCCTTCTAAAAACCTTTCCTTGAAATATATGCTCTATCTGAAAATTTCCCCCCTGTTCATACAGTTTTTTTCCCCACTTAATGTTTGCTGTGCTCTTTGACAATTTTCATTGTAATTTTTCCTAACATATTAAGGTGCATATATGCTTTCATTTTTATTAGCTTTTGTAGCATCACTGGAGGCTTGTATATTCTGAAAATTAGCAAAGAATTTAAAATTATTTTATAATTCTGTGAACAGCTGTAAGCATACCTTAGGATTTTTGTAAGAATAATAATAATACCAATATCAGTGATACCAAGGAATAGTCAAATACTACTACAAACATTAATACTACTGTATTAATGAATGTTAACTATATTCTAAGACTGCCTTGTTCAATATAGTAGTCACTAGTCACATATTGCTACTGAGTACTTGAAATGGGGCTTAAACTAAATTGAGATACACTCTAAGCATAAAATATGCATCAGATATAAAAGATGTTGCATTTCTATTGGAAAGCACTATTCTAGGGCATGGTAATAGAAGCTTTTAACTGTCCTTTAAGCTCCACAAACTATCCATATGGGGGGGCAGATATTAGTATTATTCCCATGTTGTAGATGAGAAAGCAGGTCCCATGATAGCTAACCAGTGGCGGAGAAGCCATCTATTCACTCTGGCTCAAACAGAGGACTGGTTTTCAAACAGAAGATAAAAGTTGCTGTTAGGCTCGAAGCACACATTTGAGAATTTGCTTCTGCCTTTGCTTTGATAGTAACTTTTCCATTCCATATATGACACCTGGAGTTGACTTCATTATCACTGTCAGTTTTAAAGGCACAGAACCTTTTACATAGGTGTGCACTATCCAGGTGCATTATGTATACCAAAGTATATAATACACACCACAATATGTAATGTACATGAAACTGGATTCAAATACAAGGCTAAACAACTTACCTAGACCTGGAAGTTGTTGCAGAGACTAAATGGAAGGGCCCCAGCTATATGCTTTATTGTTATAATCTAGCTCGTGTGTGTAGGCTAGGGTATTGTATCTTTGTGATCCACTGGGATAAAACTTGGTACCAATTGGATTTCTAGCCCCTTCCAGCTTCTAACTGGAGCTTAGAGTTTTCATTGCCCAATAGATTCCAAGGTGGTGTTTCTTTGTAATGAGTTATAGAAAGCTCCTTTGGGTCTAACTTTGATAGTGGTTCTGCCCCTGCATGGAGATGAGCCTCAGAGAAATCACACTTCAATTTTTTATGAAGCCACTTCTTTAATTTCTTCTTTAGTCAAATGTTATTATGCCTGTAGCTGTCCCCTAAGATGGAAGAATTTGAAGAATACTCTCTAAAGAATCCTGATTCTTTTGTTCGTTCACCCTTAAGCTCCTAATAATAGCCACTATTGCATCCAGAGCCTGAGAGACTGTGCCTTCTTTCCACATGTTCCACGTTTACTTCTTCAAGTTTCAAGAGTGCCCTGATATTTGGTGAATTGAGAATCTATTCATGTATTATTAACATCATTATATACAGTTGTACATTGTATTCTGGCTCTGTACTATATCCCTGGTGGTCAGAATGAACCAGTTTTTAATATTTCAGACTCAGTAGGAGGTTTTGCAACTTCTCTTGGGGAGTGTTGTTCTCTTGATGTCATTTCCATCCTAAGGCACGTTTGTTTTAAATGTTAATATTGTAACACAAAAGAGACAGTGATGCTTTGTTAAAATTTTATTTGAAGTGTCTTAGGAACTATTAAAAAATATTTGCCTTTTTTTTTCTTGGAATACTTGTATTTCCTCAGTTAACCATGCACTGTTAAAATTAATCCTCTTGATAATTCTCAAGTTTTAGCAACTGTCTTTAATATTTTTAGAACAATTTATGAAATAAGCACTTAAGGCAGCACTTTCTCTATGCCAGGTACTGTTTTACATGCATTAGAAAATATTAATTCATTAATGCTATGATTAAAAGTGTAAATATGTATATTCTGGTGGCTTGAACAAATTATGAAAAACTAAGTACATTCTTGGATATAAAATATACTTTAAAAATTATTATAGTAATAATATTTTGTTGATTGAAAAGCATATAGAAAACCATGATGTGGCATTAATATCGACTATATTTGAGATCTGTTTTTAAGAGAATGAAAGCTATCATCTATCCTTGAAACCATCTACCTATCTGTTCATTTATTTATTGATACTTTAGAATACTTTTTACTTCAAAAGGGTTTTTAATAGTTTGTGGTGTTTAAATACATATAAAAGAACAAATAAGCAAGTGACAAGCATGATCAGAAATAATTTAGAAGAATAAAAATATTTATTGGAATCTGTGAGGAGATAGTCACAAAAACTAAACTCTCTATTTTTTGATTCTCTTCCTTACTACAAAAGGGAAGGAACATGGGATGAATCATAATTTTTGTATGATAAAAATTCAAATGAGTTTGTCTGGAAAGTAATTTTTTCTTAGTACTAAAGTCTAGGAGAATATTTTTGGGGGGTCTCTTACATAAGGGATGCCAAGTAAAAATGTATTTCCACCGTAAGAATGAGAATCTTCTAATGATATTACATTGTAACTTCACAAACACCTTTCTGCTAGTAAGCATGCTAACATAATCCACTGTTTCACGACATGGAATTTAATAAATACAAAGCACACAGAACACCTAAAAATTAGTCAGGACACAAATCCCACAGGTGCTCACATTTTCAAACTTCACTGCTTTCAGCTGAGCTTCAGTATACCCTTGAGAGCAGTTAGTTTGAAGTAGTGCATTCTGGCTAGTGATTATACTTTCTTCCATTACTTGGGAGGAATCCTATATTTGGCAGATAGTTAATATGCATTATGCAACACTGAATGATATTATGATATTCATCCTTGCTATTCATGGCCCAGCAAAGGTAGTACTTCCAAGATACTATTCTCTTTGAATTCAAGATATGCCTCTCTCTGTGTTCCACAGTACCATAAACAAATTTTATCATAACCCTTGTAATGGAGGTATTTTAATCTTAATTTAATTTTATTTCATATTTCAGTCTGTCTTCTCTGGTCTCTGAGCTACTTGAGAGCAGGTGCTCTCTTATCACTCTAGTTCCAGCACCAGAACAGGTGTGACACATTAGAAAGTATTTGATATATATTTGGTAAATGAAAGAATAAATGCATGAATTAACTTACCACTGATTGGTATTTTCATTCAGACAATGGACCATGCTCAGCAGAGATCTCCAAGGATACCAGTAGCAATGTCCTATAACATATTTTTAAGTTCTATAATGATTTTATGAAGCTACTTTTCAGATTTTCTCGAATTATAGAGTCGTAGCCAGCCAGGAGGCTGTGAAGTGGTGTTTATTTTGACTGAGGCGCTGTTCCTCAGTTTTCCAGTACCAGAGAATTGATCTGTCATAATTTTATCCAGAAGGCTTCAGTTTCATGCTGGTCAAATTTATAGGAGATGGATTTGTAAATCAGAATTCTAATTTATTGATTTATAAGTGATATATCTTTAACCTAGAAGTCAGAATCATTGGTGGCAGAGAAGAGAGTTTCATATAAATTATAAATTAGAAGATTGCATGATGAAGGCATAAAATGATTTTGGGTGCTCATGAACGTAGGTCTTCATGAGGGGGAGAGAGAGAGAGAGCATGCACATGGTGGAGGGAAGGTCAGAGGGAGAAGCAGACTCCCTGCTGAGCCGGGAGCCCATTGTGGGACTCGATCCCAGGACTCCAGGATCATGACCTGAGCCGAAGGCAGTCGCTTAACCAACTGAGCCACCCAGGCACCTCCCTAAATGGATTACTTTAAAGGCATTTTTGTCTAGGGAGCTGTCTCAGTCCATTAGCCAATTGATATTTCTAGTTAAGGGATGATGGAACCCAGATAGAGCAGACAATAACAGATGGTCCATGAAAAAGTAGTTTCATAGTGGAATAAGTGAAAAAAAAAAGTATAGACTCCTCTTGGAGGCTCTGAATTGATTATAGGAAACCTTCCATAAAGAATTTGTTTCACTTACTTCATATTTATCTAATGAATTGAATCATCTAATGAATCTAACCTTGGAACAATTTTTATTGACCCACCTATGAACATTTACTTAAAAAAAACTAGAACAATGAGTGTGACAGACACTTTCAAGGTACCTAGGGGACACATTTGTGAATCAGACCAACACATTCTGCAGTTTCCTAGCCCTAACAATGTAGTGGGATGGGAGTGGGGTGGGGTGGATTGTCAGTAGAGAAGGAAGAAAAGAAACAAAAAGAAATTATGTTTTGTGTTATGTGTTATAATGCAACTAAATAAGATTCTGAGATTCTGAATCACAGGAAGGAACTTGCTTTAGATGTTGGCGTATCAAGGACTATGTCTGTGAGGAAATGAGGTATAAGCTGTATGGTGTATAAACTGTGAAGTCTGAGAAGGAGTCAGCCATGCAAAGTGAAGAGGATTCAGGCACAGAGAACATCATATACAACTGAAGGGTGTTCAGTGGAAAGAATCTCAGAAAATACTGCTCTATGTGTATTTAGAACTAACTGATAGTTCTGTGTGGCAGAGTTAAATTTCAGCTGAACACACTCAGACCCCCCCCAGAAGGACCTGAAAAAGGTCATTCTTGGGGAAAACAGGGTTTCTGCCTCACCTCTTGTTTCTAAATCAGAATAAAAGGAGTTCCTTTCTAGATGCCCCTTAGGAGAATTTGTCCTGGTTTTTGTGCCTAGTTTTTGCCTACATGTGCATCTCTCCCAAATGCAGGAGTCTCCCCTTGATTGTGGTCAAGGGTGAATATGCTC